TAAAGTAATATGGAAGCAGTCTTAACATTCATTGTTGGTTATATATGATATCCTGTATTTTTCTTTTTCTTTTTAGTGAGATCACGGACTATAGGTGAACTTTTAGCTCCAGCAGCTCCTTTTGACAAGAAATGTGGTCATGAAAATTGGACTGTTGCTTTTGCTCCAGATGGTTCATACTTTGCTTGGTCACAAGGACATCGTACAGTAAAGCTTGTCCCATGGTCCCAGTGCCTTAAGAACTTGTAAGACTCTCTTTTCTTTTTTGTTTTGTATCTGTTTGTGGAATTTACCATTTTCTGCCAGTGTGGGGTAATAAAAACATTTTGATATTTTAGTTTTCCTTTATATATGGTGTTGTAAATGTGTCTTACTTATAGGCTGAATATATTTGTTGGAAAATTAGTTTAAAGAATTGCCTGGCTTTATTTATACAGTATAGAATATTTTCTCAGATATTTATGTGTCTTTAAGTTGTTCTATATTTTAAAAGGCCGATTAACTGTTCCCTGTTAGTGTATGTATTGTATTGTGCCACAGGAGGTAACCTTTGTTATGTGAAATTTCTTGGATTCACTTTGGATTTTACATTTTATCGGATAACAGTGGTGCATAGATCATGTAATTATATTTTATGTATTTTTTTCATTGAGTTTGAATATTTGTTGAAAGTTTTTCTAAAATGTATCATATGCTAAATTGAATCTTTCCTTGCTTTTTGTATCTAGTAGACCTTCATGGTTATATTCATTAATGGTCTTATTACGTATTACTTTAGGTCTAGAAAGTATGAGAAACTGATTATTATGGTTTAGGTTGTTTTTTTTTTAAGGTAATTTTCCGGGATCAGCTTGATAATATATTAAGTTACTGGGGGTTTTTATGCTTGTTTATATTAATGTTTTTGCTTTTAGGTTGAAGGAGTCTGAATTGATACAATAGTTTTGAGGAAAATTTGGGAGGCAAATAGGTTGTAAGTTGCTTTATTGTTGAACTTTTTCTCAGCCACTAAGAATTTCTATTAATGATCTGAATTTATTTACTCCTTCTCTCATGGTTCAAATAGCAACTTTCCCCCTTCCTATCTATAGGATTCTATTGTTACTTAGTATCATTATAATTATATTGAGGTTGTTTTTATAAGCATTCATGATTATTCAATATCCAGAAGAGTCCAGAATAAATAATAATTCAATTTTAATCTTTTTTCTTCCAGTCTCTTGCATGGCACCAAGAATGTTACCAATTCAAGCAGTTTAAGATTGTCAAGGCAAAATAGTGATGGTGGTCAGAAAAATAAGCCTCGTGAACATATTATAGACTGTGGAGATATAGTCTGGAGTCTTGCTTTTGGGTCTTCAGTTCCAGAAAAACAGAGTCGCTGTGTAAATATAGAATGGCATCGATTCAGATTTGGACAAGATCAGCTACTCCTTGCCACAGGGTTAAACAATGGACGTATCAAAATATGGGATGTATACACAGGTATGGATTCATAGTTTTAAAAGCAAACCTAATTATTTTATAATGGAGGACACTGGTTATAGGCACTGGAATAAATGATTTGAGAGTTTTAACTTACTGAAAAGTAAGAATTGGTGCTATGGGCCAGGCGCGGTGGCTCATGCCTGTAATCCTAGCACTCTGGGAGGCTGAGGCGGGTGGATTGTTTGAGCTCAGGAGTTCAAAACCAGCCTGAGCAAGAGCGAGACCCCGTCTCTACTAAAAATAGAAAGAAATTAATCGGACAACTAAAAATACGTATAGAAAAAATTAGCCGGGCATGGTGGCGCATACCTGTAGTCCCAGCTACTCGGTAGACTGAGGCAGAAGGATTGCTTAAGCCCAGGAGTTTGAGGTTACTGTGAGCTAGGCTGATGCCATGGCACTCTAGCCCAGGCAACAGAACAAGACTCTGTCTCCAAAAAAAAAAAAAGAATTGGTGCTACGAGTGTGTCTTTATAATTGATCTGAACGGCATCTTTAGCTCATGATTTTAATTCAGGAAAACAATATAGAGTTCACTCTTCAGAGAATATTACAGTAGGGAAGGGCATGTCTAGGGAATGTTATTTAATTATCATTTATAAACTAGTAATTTAGTTTATGACTCAAATAGCAACGTGTTTTTTACATACTTTTTCAATAATTGATAGCTTAGAGGCTTTCAAGAAGCAAATCAAATTTCAGCAATCATTATCTAACCTTTGGAAGGTTTTAGTGACAGTTCATCTAAAGTCCAACGAGATGGGTTGAGAAGTTGAATTCTTTGGGCAATTAAAAATAAATGTGTTGTTCACTGCCTAAATCGGTTTGTAGCATGTATTATGTATTCAAAAATGTAAAGGATTTTTAAAATGAGCATTAAAACAATATGTACATTGGAACACAGCAAGTCATACTAATAATGGGGATAATGAATCAAAATTTGGGTTCTTGAAAAAAAATTTAAGATAAACACATAGATTCTCCTAGAAAACAAAACTCTTATGGTATTAGAAAAATAAATTACATTTTTTCCACTGGGATTGTGTTTGGATTTAAAGTTGTTGTAGTATAACATGTATCTTTTGGGGAGTTTGACAGTTCATTAGTAATCCAAGGTCAAGGAAATACAAGCAAAGGAATAATTTGATTTTATGTTTTAAAGTCATACTGTTCAAAGATTTGACAAATGATAATGTGGGGGCTTTCTTGATATTAAATTAACATGATCTGTGGGTTTACATTTCAGGAATTCCCTTTTAATTTTTTTGATAAACTTAGGCTTTACTAGCTTGGAAAGAATCCATTTTAAAACAATGTAAATATTAATAATAAATCTTTAATGGTAACAATAATGGCACTAATAAATAAGTCATTTTATACTTGATAATCTAAGGAGGTAGCCAAGAATTTCTATTCATTTTTTTTAATGATGAATAATCCTATTTTTTAAAAGAAGGAGTTGATAAAATTATTAATATTGTCTTTTTTTCCCCTTCCATCACATTTAGGAAAACTCCTCCTTAAC